TAAAACTTTAATAAAATTTTACAGAAAAAATCACCTAGTAGTTCATTTAAAGTATGATCCAAACTAACTCCACGCAATTTATTAAGCATATACCACTACCCTAAAACAAAATATTTTTCGTAAGAAAATATACATACGACAAAAATAAACATTTACATTATTTTTTTAATCATTATTACTACTTAATATGACTTTAATATAAACTTTCTTTTATTTTCGCTTCATAAAAAAAATCATCCTCATCTAAAAATGTTACCACGGTGGCCCACCGCACGTACACTCTTCTATTTCCCATTAAATTACATGAAAAAAAATTACACACATAACTCCTAATTCTCATGCATTTAATTATCTCACACGTGAGAAAAATTTGCGTATGTAATAGGTGCGTAGGGCTGCGTGTATATTTGAAGGTTGTAGAGAGGTTACAGAAAGATTATATAGAAATTACATCTGTACAAATATAACCTCTGTATACTTTCTATAACCTCCCTATAACCCCAAAATGTATGCAGCTCTACGTACTTGTTACGTACTCAAATTTTTCTCCTCACATGCAAACTTTCATTTTTACAAATTAAATATTTTTTTTAGGTTTGACAATATATATGAGAAGATGAATTATATATATTTTTAATTTACTTTAGCTATAAAAATTAAAGTTTAGATGTCAAATAAATAAATGCATAACAATTGGGTGCTATTTACGTAAATCTTAAAAAAAAAAACGGTTACACGTGCGGTCACCCGCGTGATACTGAATCCCACAGCTCGCCGCACCGCCGCCGTGCAAACCCGATTCTTCCCATCTCCAAATCATACACCACTTCCATCCCCTGCTGCTGTAAATTCCCCAGCGTTCCGGCCGGCTCGCCTCCATTCTCCTCCTCTTCCTCCTCCGCTTCATCTCCACTACTGATCACCATCAAGCATCCCACATGCTGCCCCTCGCTCTCAAACCCCAAAAAGTAGTTCCTCGTCGGCAGCCACACAGTTGCGTTTCCGGCGAAGTGGAATCCCATGGCCGGCACTCCTCTGCTCTCATTCCTCCCATTTCCATACTCATAGCACGGCCCAAGCCCCGTTCGCTCCTCTGCTTCGTGGGCTCGAATGTACCCGCGCCTCCCCATCTGCCGCCTAAACTCCGCTGCTAACCGGCGGTGCATCTCGCCGGGAAGCATCGTGAAAGTTGTGCCGGAGTCCACCACCATGCCTCTAGAAACAAGCTGAGAACTTGCCGGAATGATAAACCGGCCGAAGGAGATGGAGAGGAGCGAAACTGAGTAGAAAAAGGAGTTTTTGTGGGTGTGAAGCAGAGGAGTGTAGGTGAAGGAAATGGTGGAGGAGCGGCCGAGGATGAGCGGGCTTGGACGTAGGAGGCGATGTGGGAGGAAGGAGTGGTAGATAAGACAGTAGGAGAATCGGGAGGCGAGGAAAGGTGAGAACTTGGCGAGCTGAGAGGGGAGCGATAGAGGTCCACGGCCGAAGCCGGCAACGCCGAGCGGTTCGGCAAGAGCGGAGTGTGCGCAGGCGAAGGTGAAGTTGGAGAAGGATAGAGAGGGAACGAGGGAGAGATGGCCGCTGCGGAGAGAGGCGAGGAGGCTTCCATCGCCGTAAGCGTAGTAGAGGAGAGGACAGGGGTGGGAGGAAGGAGAGCATGAAGAAGTTTCAATGTCGTCGAGGGGACAGAGAGCGGCGGCGCAGAGGTCGGAGATGGGGAGGAAGGTGTGGGCGGCGGAGCAGAGAAGGGAGGAACATGGGAGGGGATGAGAGGAGGGAGGGGGAGGAAGAGGTGTGGAGGAAAGAGGCTTGTTTTCGCAGAGGATGCATTGGAAGGGGGAGCAGGGGAACCATAACAGATCGCTGCCGGTATCGAGGTAGAGGGAGACGGTGGTGGAGGAGATGGAGAGGGAGAGAGTGTAGTCAGCGCCGGCGGCGAGGGGGAGGGGAAGCTGCCGCCTTTTCTGGCGGTGAGAATGAAAGCGAGCGGCCGAGCGTAGGGAGGAGGATTTGAGGAGGTTGGATTGGGAGGGAAAGGGGGAGGAGAGCGAGAGTGAGATGGAGTGGGTGAGGGGGAGGACGAGAGGTTTGTCTGGTGTGAATGAAACAGAGTATGCGTATTGAGATTGGAAGAAGCAGAGGAAGAGGAGAAGCAGAGATGAAGAGAAGAAGGCCATTTTTTAAGACTGGTAGGTGGGAAGGAAGGATGAGTGGGGAGAAATGAATCTTATGTCGAGGTTTATATAGGGGGAAGGTGACGAAGATTCTTACGATTGGTTTCTACTGGTTTGGATCTTTCTGAGCTGTTAATGGTTTGATGAAGAATTTGAAAGAAAACGTAAAAGAGACCCAACTTTAATGGTGATTCACGATTGTGTTTGTGCTTCACGAAAAGCTAATTATTGGATATAAAGAGATTAATATATTTATATTATGTCTTATTTATCCAATGATTATATATATATATATATTGAGGGGCGTTGACATACATATCATTCAATACCTATGTATTTAAATATCTAAATTTTGATCTTAATTATTACATTTTGATCACCTAAATCTGTTATATCACAGCAAAATTGAAATGTC